GCTAAACGGCACGCCCAATTTCTAAAATATTTTAATATAGTATTTAATGAGGGCCCCGCAGTTTATATATTTTGTTTGGCGAGGCTCGTCTCATTTAATTATTTTTCAAGGTCAATCTAAAGCGACCTAGATTCTCTATTTGTATCGTTGTCTCTAAAGGGGCTTGGCAATATGAAATTCGGGTCTCAAGTTCAAGTCCGGTTTCAAACAAAAGGATAAAACCTTTTAATTTAAAACCGCTACCTAACTCAAAAGCCCAATTGACGGTCCATTAAGCTATGAACTAAGGTCTTTAAATTAAATCCAAACAGTGAATCTTAATAGTGCTCAGGTAATGATCAATCGAATGGGCCTGCTCATAGACCCAAACCGTGACTGAATTAAACCCAACAGACTTGGACCACAAGTTTACACGGGCTGTTCGTTGAAGCCCAATGCGGCAGAGGCTAAATTCGATGACAATTGTACCCAAAAAAAAACTAAAGTTCAAATTAGCAATACAACTAGCTCAATTCCATTGACATCTTTTACTCCGGATCTATATTAACACCGGACTATACATCTAAGTCGTTAAGCATAGACAATGGTCGATTGGTTTCAAATTTAGAGGTGCGAAATTCATATTGCAATGTCAATCTGATTTTTACATTTATGAACATGCCACCCAGTCAAATTCAGTTTTTTTTTTCGACATTAATCAAGTCCAAACTCATACTACTGCTGTCATTAGCCAAATGATCACAGCTATTCAAACGTCAAATTATTAAAAATGAAGATCTAAATCGACTTTTACCTATATGCTATTGCTAATACTAACAGTTAATCTAATCATCCACATACAGTCGCACTACGTTAATGAAAATCAGCGATCCGCTATGAATTAACAGTCCAAACAGTCCGGTATTAATTAATTACAATGACCTGCGCTAAAAATCAGTAACAACAAAATCAGTACAATATGCTTTGTTTTATTCTGAATCCCAAGCTTGCAATATACACTCATATTTCCAGATCTCCTGAGTTAGGGGGAAGTACCTGGAGTTTATAATGAAACAAGAGAAAGAAGAAGATCAGCAACAATCTGAGTGAGTGCCAATGATTTTTAACAGCAAGAAATAGCAACAGCAGCTTCTGCTTAAAGCCCAGCAGCGAAAGAACAGTAGGCAACCCAGCAAATTTCAACAGTCAATCTCTAAGTTCAATGATGCCAATCGAAAAATGACTGAAATTCAAGATCATTTTGCAATAAAACAGTGTATTTGGAGTTTTGTGTATATATATTTTTTTTTTTTAAAAGAACTGATGGTCTAATCTAAAAAAGGCTTTTCAGATANAGTATATAAAGTCGGGATATTCAGTCATTTTTCACTTTTTTCAAAACCCAAAACATAAGAGGCGATTTTCCAAACGATTCTACTTCTTCAAAACGATTGGTAAGTGATTTCTAGCTCATTTTCTTTACTCCTTAACATCCTTAAACATAATTCCAACTTCAAAACAAAGATTTTAATGGAGAAATTGGGAATTTAGGGTAGAACCTAGGTTTCTAAAATTGGGGGTTTTGGACCTCAATTCGGGGTCCGATTCCAAAATAACTTACATATTTGAGTTCATGGGGGAATGGGTAAACGAGTTTTGGTTCGAACCTCGGGTTTTGACCATGTGGGCCCGAGGGCATTTTTGACCTTTTGGGGTAAATTGATGAAAAAGCTATAATTAGTCATTGGGTTTGATTTGTTTAGCACATATTGATATCATGAAGTCCTTATTGCATAGATTTGGTCGAGTTGGAGCCGAATTCGAGAGGGAAAGCGGTTGTGGAGGATTGTATTGGCCGCGGAGGTTGAGGTAAGTGTTTGGTTTAACCCTAGCTTGAGGGAATAGGAGTCAAGTCTTGTTTGCTAATTGCTAAATGATCGAGTACGATGTATAGGCATGGTGACGAGTTCCTATACATTGGGGTCTAGCATGACCGTGAGTCCTTATATGTGAGTTGTTTGGATATTGTTATGCCTTCCATGTCATTGATGGCTTCTATACGTGGTAAACACATTGTGAAAGATATTGTGATTGTAGAACTTCGTGGAGCATTGGCTCGGTCTGAAATACAAATGGTGAAAGCATGTGAAATGAGAAATGCCTTAGAGCTTGACATGAGTGCTAATGAGAGTTAGGATATGAAAATGAAAGAAAAAGAGAAATAACGATTTACTCTTGCATGGTTGTTATTGGTTGTTTGTGTACCCTTGTTGGGATTTCTTTCCAAATACTTGTTTACTCCCTTGCCCTTTATTTGTGACTGTTGCTTGGGCAAGGCTGAGAGGTATACATTACGGATCGGGTTGCGCGCCGCAACAATGTTAATTGTGGATCGGGTTGCACGCCGCAACAGTGATAATTGTGGATCGGGTTGCACGCCGCAACAATGTTAATTGTGGATCGGGTTGCACGCCGCAACAGTGATAATTGTGGATCGGGTTGCACGCCGCAACAATGTTAATTGTGGATCGGGTTGTACGCCGCAACAGTGATAATTGTGGATCAGGTTGCACACCGCAACAGTGATAATTGTGGATCGGGTTGCACGCCGCAACAGTTATTGATGCAAATGCGTTTAGTGTTGGTAGTAGTTCTTGTTCGCTTTAAATTGTAAATTGCACCTAGATTGATTACTTCGGACTTACTGTTAATCTTGTTATCTCCCCACCGCATGTTTCCCCTCCCATACTGTTAATTGTCTTGTACTTCGATTTCCGTTGTATATTTATAATTGCACAGGTTTATGTGGGGTCCAGTCTAGCCTCGTCACTACTTCGCCGGGGTTAGGCTAGGCACTTACCAGCACATGGGGTCGGTTGTGCTGATGCTACACTCTGTGCATTTTTGCACAGGCCCAGGTATTGAGCAGCAGCAGCAGCATTAGCGCGGGGGCGAACCTTCAGTCCAGAGAGACCCGAGGTAGCTTGCAGGCGTCCGCAGGCCCAGCGTCTCCCTTCAATCTTTACGCTTTGGCTGTCATCTCATTGTACCCGAGATAAACAGATTATGTTTCTTTCAGACTTTGTATGTAGTACTCTTTAGATGTTCGTGAGGATGTGACTCCAGTCCCGGGGTAGAGATATATGTGTTGGAACTTCTGTATTATTGATCATCTATCTACATTTAAGTCTTCCGCTTATGATTTTAATTCCGTCGCCTTTATTTAATGCGGTTAATTGTTAAAAAAAAAGGAACATGTGTTTAATGAAATTGCTAATTAACTTGGCTTGCCTAGCTCCTATTAGTAGGCGTCATCACAACTCCCGAGGGTGGAAATTCCGGGTCTATGTGACTATGTCAAAGACTACGAGGTGGGAAAGAAAAATTACACAACGGCAAAAGAAAAGAAAAATAAAGGTATGACTAAAATTCTATTGTTTTTTGTTTTTGTTTTTGACATGGTAAATGCATAAATGTACTATGATATTGATAAACTATAGTATAAGATGGCAATAGCTTTTGAGAAAGGATAACGGGTCAATTTATGAGATGTAATAGTTAAAAGTTTTTTGTTATATATATATATAACTTATATCGGCTATTTTAGTTTTGCTTCCTTATCTTCTTTGAAGTCTATTCTATTACTCCCTCTGGTCCAATTTAATTGATTTTTGTCTATTACATCGGCTATTTTAGTTTTTTATCTTAATTCAGGTAACTTCTTTTTCCTTCTGATTTCAAATTAGTTTTTCATTCTCAACTTCTTTCTCTTTTGTTTGTGTTGAGTGGGATGCTGACTTTCTTTATTTATTTTAAAATTGCAGGCAACGTTTTTTTTTGTGTATATTCCCCTTTTAATCTTTTTATGTGCTTGCTATTTATGCGTTTGATTTTTATCTCATTGGTGTTCAGGGAATAAGAGAGAATTAAAGAGGTGAGAGTACTCTTCTCATACGAAATGAGAATAACTACTAATGCTTTCTATGTCTTTCAGTGACCTTCATAAAAAGGATTCATATTTATTTATTTTTTATTGCCGTTCCATTTTTTTTTTTACAATTTTATTTAAAAAATCACATCAATAATGTTTTGTGTCTCTTTAGTTACATACCATTATTATGCCTTTGAATCTCATTGGTTACCCATCGTTATTATGAAACAACTAGAGAAAATATTTGTAAAATTTGATTACGTTGACTTGTGCCATAAATTTGATTTTACCCTTCTTCTTTTAATTTCATTTATTATGTTTTATTATTTGGTCTAAAAGATTAAAAACTTGAAAACCAAAAAGAGAGTCGTAAAACAAATTTATCAAATGAAAAATGGATTAAGAACTTGAAGTTTAATCTGTTGTTTTTGAAAAAAGGAGTTTTGTCTTTTTCCTTCTTTTTTTTTTTTTTTTGTGGAAAAATGAACGGGATGTAAGAAAGGAAAAAGAAACAGAGAAAAGAAATAGAAGAAAAAGGAAAATGTAATTTAAATGGGAGGGAAAAAATTAGAGAAAATATTTGTAGAATTTGATTTCGTTTATTTGTGGATATATTTGATTTTACCACCTTCTTTTTTTTTTTTTCATTCTGTGTTGTTATTATCTTTATATTGGGGAGGTCTAGAAGATTAGGAACACTTAAGTTTTGGAAAATTAGAAAAAGGTTTTAAAACTAATTTGTTAGATAAAAGATGAATTAAAATTTGAAATTTAGTTTATTGGGTTCGAAAACTGTATGAATCTTTAATATATTCGAATATTAGTATAGGGATCATTTTGTATGTCGAATAAAGTTTTTAAAAACCGCACGATACGCGGGCAAATTTACAAGTGTTAACAAAATATGCGTAAAGAGTAGTAGGTTGCGCACTGTCTGTGCTAAGCTGAACAATTAGAAACTTTTACTGAATAATAGGGATTTAACTGTAAAACACAAAGCTAACTTTGATAAACTACTCCTCAACAGCTACGAATCACCAAATAAGCAGCAGGTACAACATCTGCAAGCCTATTAGTTACAGAAACTTAATTATAGAACACAATCTCGAGCACAAGGATATAGGTCTATATAGTGAAACTCTGCTCTGTCAAAAAACCAATCCGCAACAGCTTCACCAATTGTCTACACAGATAAAACCATAAATATTACAACTACTAACAATGATAGGCGAATGATAAAATTCAAAACATAAAATATTCAGATTTTATTTATATGGATAAAACAAAAGAAAAATTACCTTATGAAGTAATCTTGGAGAGGTAGGACTCAACCAGAAATTCGTCAACATAATTGCACCATGAGAATGGCAAGATGTGATGAAATAACCCCTCGTAAAAGAAGGGTTGAGTCCCTCAAATGCCTTCAAAAATTCTACTCCAAAAACTATATTTAAAAATGAAACAAATTAATTAAAAAGAATTAGAGGAGAAGAAGAGCCATTTACACATATGTGATAGGAAGGTATGCATTAATTAGTTAATCACCAGAGAAGTAGTGCTAATTAACCTTGAATAATTAAATATTGGCTAAATGTACAGTTGCTTATTTGTTTCTTGCAATTGTCCCAGACATGTTGATGATCGAGGTATTTAGGAACCAAAATATTTTCAATCTGGAGTTAGAGTTAGAGTATTGAATCATTAAAATGAATTTCTTTTATATTTAATAGAAACTAAAGAATAAAACTAAGGAAATTTTTAAAATGAGAGAAATTAATATTTGTCTTCTGACATGCCAAGAGTTATAGTGTGAATTGATTATAAACAATGGAGTCTCGACATATGGAACAACATTCTGAGGAAAAAAGCACTGCACCATTATTAAGGAAAACTAATGTTAGATAACAATATTTATCAGACTTGGTACAAGAAAAAGGTTTTTGTTTCAAAAACTTAAACTCTTAATTACCAGACTTGGTTCCATTGCATATGAGCAAGATGGAGGCAAATTCTTAGCCGATCCCTTCAACAAGAGAAAAAAAAATATTATAGAAAAAGAATCTAACTTGCACTTACTTGTTAAGTATATATTATACAATCGTACTAAAACAAAAAAGATGATGGAACTTACATGTAATGTCACAACTCTTTGATACATTTCTTGAATATCTGAAATACCGGAGATTGTCTTGCTGTATGTATATGTCACGAAAGGCTTGAGTTAGCTTAGTTCCAATGGCATAAACAAAAATTAGACATAATTAACAAATCAATAGTACGTACTTGATACTTTTATTTCTTAAGTGATTTATGCATAGAAATAAAAGCTCACCCATTAATGAAAAAGCCTGCATCTGCGACACACTTAACTTTGGCATCATTTGGCAAGAGGGATTTGAACTTGTCGCATTTTTTTGTTTTTTAAGATTTAGTCGCGGGTTAGAAATCAGAACTTAAAAAAGAAGAAGAGAAAGGCATAATAAGGTAGTACATGATTTGTAATTATGAATATTATGAAGCCAGAGAGTAATTGATATTCTTACATTTTCAGCATTTTGCATGCCTTTGCTCCATAAATCTTTCATAATGGCCTTAAATATTCTTGCCCCTCTAAAAAACAGCTTGTTGTCCTAATTAATGTAGAAATGTTACGGGATATATTAATCACCAAATTATGCAGCGATGTTTATCAATATATATGATTACTTACAGGGTCAACTTGTTCGATATCACCGGTGAAAGATGAACCAGCACAATACTTCTGTTGGGTTTTGTCTACTAACAACTTCACCCTCACCCTATTCCAGTTGTAAAAGTCTACCATTCCAATTTTTCTTAACGTTAGAAGAAGTTTGTAAAAATTTATGCATATAAAGAGAAGAGAAACAAAGTAGTAAGAAAATAGTACTAAGCTTAATTAACCTGGATTATTGTGGGGATTATTATAAAGTATCCCAGCAAACCGAGATCCATTCTTCATCTGCTTAGAAGAACCTAATTCGGTAGTTGAACGACTAAGGCAATCTGGTATACTTTGACACTAAGCGCCTCCCTAAAAGTACAAAACAATTTCCAGTGTGAGCAAGCAAAGCAGAATATTTATTGGTTTAATCTGGTGACTTAATTATGTTAAAGACAAAAAGTAAATGAATAAAAAAAAAAGTAAATAGTAGTAGTAATTTATTAACTAACATCCATGACAATAATCCAGCTGCGAAGTCCGTTACCATATCCCCTATCCAGATGATAAGCTGGTGGACTTCCATCTAGGCATACTGCATGGCTCAAACACAAAATAAATAATTAGTCTGCATGTGATTATCTTTTACGTAATTTTTATGTACTACGTATAACTTAACTTAAGGAAGAATGTATTGATTATCCTTCTGTAAACTGCTAGTTCTTTTCTTTTTTTTCCATAAAATGTTTTATTCATATTATGCTTAAAGGTGTGGTACAAAGAGCAGTGGCAGATTAAATTCGAGGTGCTTGTACAACAGTACATTACTGGAAATCAGGGGCGGATTTAGGCTCTTTTTACGTATAATGCACGTAAACTCATGGTCTTTCAGCTAAATTAGGTATTTTATGTATATATTTCGTAATATTGACTTAATATTATGTGTTGCCCCACGTTCCAAAATGATTGAATGGTGCATTTGGCTGAATCTTGAGTTATTTATCCAAAGGAACATTGATCGATTCTCATTTAGTACTATTTTTTCATGGAATTGAAGAACTACAAATCTTAACTTATTAGTGAGATCCATATATACTAGCGAAGTAAATAATGAGAAGAAAATTATAGTCCCTTATCTTTTTGTTTCTTCGTCAATTAACGTTTTAGTTACGTGTCACCTCAAAATGTTATAAAAGGGTCACCCTATGCAATGCTATTATATATATATATATATATATATAAGAAGGACCACCCTATCATATGCAATGCTATATATAACAATTACTACTAATTAAAATTTTATAAATATATCATCGTTTCTATCAAATAATTCTTTAAAAGGAACTCCTATAGTATGGCATTGAACTCCTATATCCGAAGGATTTTATCTTCTTTAAACCAAATAATTCTTACTATGTTGTACTTAGTACATCTTGGTTTTGCTTTATTATTTAATTGGAAAATTTAATTTTGAGAGTAACTTCTCTATAAACTGTGTTATACTCAACATTGCTCCTCAGTAATTGAGATTAATCATCATGCAACTGGGTTTTTGAATAGCTCCTGGGGATTAAATGAGAGAAGAAATCTTGTCCATTAAGTCTAATTGGTGACAGATGTCAGTAATCTAAGGGGCAATGGGGAGAAATTCATCAAATGAAATTTAATATAGTGCTCAGCCACAACCAAAATATATGGTATGCTACAGGGAAAAAATGGAACTTTGTCAGCCTCTCTCTTCATAATAAGAATTCTAGAATTGTCTAGTCTCTTGATTAATAAATGGTTTCCTTTCGTTGTCACATAATTTAAATTACTGCCATGGCATGTGCAGTATACTTTAAAATTCAAATATGTGCAATCATTAGTTATGAATTAATTATACTGTTACATGACATATGTTATACTTAAATGCAAATTTTGATGTTTTCTTATGCAATGATTTATTGTGAACTGAAGAAGTCTCGTAAGTAAAATGTCTAATGCGTGAATAATAAAATGAATAATGAAAAATAAATTATCCTTTACTTCCTGAATTATAGGGTGAAAATTGTTTGCACTCCTAAATTTTGTTTTTAAAAAATCAAAACTCCCTCTTCTATTTTGAACAACTAGTCTCAACATTCGTGCGTTGTTGTGCGAGAAATGTAATAATAGGTGAATTTGTCTATAATCACACCTTAAATAATCACCTTCTTGTGTAATTTTAATGCTAAAAGTGATGACAAAATGCTCTTATTAGTGCTTTTCATGATTTGTAGGTGATATATGTATAAAGACGGCTAAGGAGCAGTTTTGGAGTCAAAAGTGATGAAAAAGAGGTCAACTGTGAAATTTCCTAAGTGACCCGTGCAAAAACAGGCCGAAGATTCAGAGAACTGGATCCACCGCGGTTCCACCGCGACCGCGGCAGAACCGCGGTGGGAAGCAGCTGCAGAAGTTCAGAGATTCCGCGAGGGTGTTTGGCCGCGGTTCTACCGCGACCGCGGCAGAACCGCTGCAGGCGCAGAAACTTCTGGGACCAACGTGTCAATTACGGGATTTTTAGACCTAAACCCTATTTAAAACATTAGACTTCGCCCAAGAGAGGCATATATTGATTTTTTTTAGGTTTCTTAGCAAGAAAAACAATTGTGAGAAAGTACTCTAAACATCTTTCTTCTTTTCTTTTGATTTTATGATGAATTCAAGCTTAGTTTATGTTCCCATAGTCATGAGTAGCTAGATTCCTTGTCTAAGGCGTTGATGGAACCTATTGGGTGATGAACTTCTTGTTTATGTGAATACAAATTGCTCGTTTAATCTTTATTTGTTCAACTTAGTGTTCGTTGTAGTTAATTGACAGGATCCTCAATTAGCTGTGCCTATTTAGTGTGCATAACTTGGAAAAGAGTGCATATTTAGGGTATTGTTGAATAACACCACTCCTAGATTATTAGAGGAATCTATAATTGCGGGTTTAAAGGCGGGATTAGGAATAACGAAGCCTTGGGTGCAATCTAAATTGAATTGTGCTAAATAAAGTAAGCTAGTGTATCTCGGGAGAGTGCAATAGTAAATTACTGTGATTACTCGGGAGAGATTTACGGTAAGATTAGCGTTCATGATTGATAGAGATGTGTGGGTAAATTTGTATGAGCATAAACAGAAGGGATTCCATCAATAGGGGAAATCATTGCCTTAGCTTTTTCTCATAATTGTTTACAACCTTTAATTTTTACTTAGTTACAGCCATTTAGTTATTTGCAAGCTAGTTGTTAAAGAACACTCAACTGAGATTTGAATATTTGGGAAGCTGGTTCTGAAGACTTAGTGGGTCTGAAGATAGCAGTTGATAGGTTAACTCTCTGTGGATTCGACCCTGGGCGTAATACTCGGGTTATATTTGCAACGTCCGCAGAGTCCTTTTTATAAGGCATAGTTGGGCGTGATCAAATTTTGGCGCCGTTGCCGGGGAGTTAACGGAATTATCAATTGCCATTGACAGAAATACAAAGATTCTTGTTGTAGTCAGTTTTCTCTCTACCAACTTTTTCATTGAAAATTTGACGGTTGTTGATCTGGGTGCACAGGTGCATGCCTAGAAACTCTACGAGGACTGGAGAACTGCTTGAAGGACTCTCGGACCCCGAGAAGACATTCCGGGCATTGAATCGTGCAAACAAAAGACTTCAACAATCACAACAAATACACCAACTCGAAATTAACATGGGCGACATAAACGACCCCAACGTGAACGTCAGGAATGAGCAACTGGCACCTCCTGTGCCTGAGGGTGCACTTCATGACTGGGCACAACCCACAGCTGACAATCTGGCCACTGCCATTATTGTGCCTGCAATACAAGCTGAATCGTTCCAGATCACAAATAACATGCTACACTTGTTGCAGAACTCGCTTCCCATAAACTCTATAGCAACTTGGGATGAGTTGGTCAAGCAATTTCACAACAAGTTCCATCCTCCTAACAAGACCGCTCAACAAATTGATGAGATTGTGAGTTTCAAACAGAAACCA